TTAAAATAAATGTCATCTCTACCTTTTATTCATTTTACAATCTACGTTATCAGATATATATTTTTCAACTATAAAATCTTGTAAGCTAGCTTTTGCGACCAGGGAACCCTTTTACATACTTTTGTTGGTATATCTATAAGTAGTAGTACAAATACTTTACTTATTGACTACTTGACATTGTTTTGAAATTGCTTTTTTTCTTAGCACTTCAAGTGTCCGTGTTATTTAGTACTCTTTACCCTTTGACTTTATTATACTTCCGTCGAGGCTCTTATATTTATCTTTTTTATAGGAACATTTGTATCTAAATAGTTTGTGGTACAAACTCTATATTTTGCATGTATAATAAAAGCAAAAACAACTGACCTTACCTTTCAAATTTATAATAATTGTTAAAATTTAGTAGTTTGCATATTTATAACTTCCAAAAAAAAAAAGACTTTTTATAACATCTAATTTATAAGTTCGAATTACTTAGTAAAACAAAATAATATTTTTAATAAAGACCTAAGCTAAACCATCGAGGAGTTCCAGTAAAATATAGGTGTTAGTGTAGCTTACAATATACAATTGTTTCGTAAAGTGTAGTACACCTAAGTACCAACAAACTAAAGTTCCTTTAAAAGCTAAACAAAAATTCACTTAGGTTAAAGTAACCATATTTTTGAAATCAAGATTAAATGAATTATTTAATCCTAACTTAAACTATAAAAAAATTAAAAAAGGGATATAAGAAAACTTTAATTTTTGTATATAATTAAAAATACATTACAGAAGTTTAGCTTTATGGTTATTTTTAATATTAGCTTTATTGGGTAAAGATGATGTTTTTATTACTTTCAGAAAAGAATTGTAAAAATAGTTTAGTTTAAAATCTTATAGCGTATAAATAGATTTATAGAGTTTTGCTAATTAAAATATTTTATTGATAATGAGGTCCGCCTCAACTTTATCCACAGAGGTTGACTAACAAGCCATGGGAGTGTGTTCATAATTTTCTGTAAAATAAAACATTTAAACCCTCAAAACTACTACCACAACCAATCCTAGCCTGAGGGAGACCTGCAAAAACCCATATTTCTACTCAAATACTTGGAGGTTAAGAAATTAGTAGATATACATAGTAACAGCAACCCGGATGGACAAGACTCAGACTAGCAGAACCTAAGTCACTTTTCTGGAAACTTAAATTCAAGATAAAACACTAAATAGTATCTTACTATTAAGGCAACACTAATTACTTAGCTCTAACTTAACTTGAATACAGTCATGGGAAGAAAACTTATTTCGAATAAGGGCCCAAACTTTAAGAGGTCGAATAAAAAACCAACTCGTAAAAGATACTTTTGCGCCCTCTACTATGCGGAACCATTGCCTTCTTTTGATGAAAACACTCGTGCCTTCATCGCACTTGGAATTTTACCAAGTTGACAGGGCTTTGTGTTTACCTTCGGTGTTTCTTTACGACGACAAACCTTACTGAAAATTTGTGAACCAAAGAAAGTTGCTAAGCGAAAAAAGAAGTGTTAAAATTGGATATAGATTTACGTCTATCAACGGTAGAGACTTCCAAGTTATCTTCAAATGCAAATCTTTTAATTTTAAGATTTAGAAAAATTAATTTGTACTTTTACGAAGTACATATTTAAAAAAGGCTTATTTTCCTTTCAGTCGGAACATAGGTATTAGGAAAGCAGAAGTACAATTTTAAGTGGAAAGTTTCAACTGCTTAATTAATTCATTGAAAATAGGATTGTAACTTTTATTAAAATTCGCAGCTTCCTTAGAGTATTTCATCAAGCTGAAACTTTTAGTATACCTCACGATATATTAAAGTAAATTATTTCGTGAACCTCTGTTAACATATATAACCTTTATTATACTATTATAAGTTTTTTTATATGGTCAAAAACACATTAATTTTTATTACTGTTTTACTGTTTTAAGTACGCATTATTCTAGATGAGTAATAAAATAATGCTGCTTAATTAGCTTATAGAACTACTGCAACACGCTTTTTAGGTGGTCACCACCCATTTACACAATCTACTTTCCTTTTAAAATTTTGACTTGCCAAATTAATACTTAAGCAAACTAAGCGAATCAAATATAGCATTATAAACAAATATATTTTCACATAAATTATTTGATTAGTAATGAAAAACTAACCCTCGGAGGCACCGGAGAGAGCGTCTGCTAGATCAAGATACATACGATTTAACTTAGAACGGTGGTCTACCAGTACAAACTGTGGGAACATAACCTCACATTGAACCAAAGAAAAATGATGAGGGTATTCAAGAATCCTGATCATTATTTATTACAAATGGATTTGAAAATCAAGGGCTGGCTGTAAAACCAAGGTCTAATACAAAATGTGGTGCGAGACACATATAAATGGACAAATATGTGTGGTTATAAGGTTTTATTAGTCTAACAAGCTCACCTTGGAGAAAATAATTATGGATGACCTTGCTCACACTATCTCGCTTAGTCTAAAAGCTTGGAAAAATCATAAATCACTTTTTTCTTGGGAGGCTCCGGTTATAAAGCCTATAATGGCTTATGCAAACAATTTCTTTCGTGGTTTATTGTTTTGGCTTCATCATAGGCCCCGACCCATAGTTTATTATGAAACCGTTCCCTTCTCAACTTTGAATAGTTAATGGAAGAATTGGATCGCATCACCTAAAAATAAAGGTGCTATAAACCTCAATCCCACTTCGCACCGCCGAAAGAACATCGAGGTACTGTGTTAACAAATACTTACCACATGACATACACCATGTTGTGCTGAAAGATTTCAAACTCATTATAAAAAACAAATATTTTGAGTTAGATCAAGTAGTTTATAGACAAAAAAAATGGAATCTCTATGGGGAATTCCACAACCATTTGTCTAGCTACCCTTTATGTCGCCTATATTGAGGACAGTTGGTTATACAATAGTAAGTACTACCACATTATATTCTACAAAAGATGTATAGATGATTGTCTAGTCATACTTTGTGATCAGGAGTAGACCATGGTCTCAGGAATCTTGCTGTTTCATACAAGGCTCCTGACTTTTTTGGGTTAACTCAGGGTTTCTTGCACCAAAATTAACATTTTTAGACTAGGATTGACAACAAAGTCTGCTGCAGGACAAATAATAAGCAACTAAACTTATAATTATATCTTGCTGTACATCAGGCACACCCGCCTTGCGTACTCAAAGGTTTAACCTACGGACTCGTCAAAAAATATTACAAGCAAAATATAGGCGCCCGACCTTGATAAAGTTATTAAATTTATCGGCAGGCTTGTTTTAAGGGGACGATCTGATTACAATCTTAGTAGACGTAACAAAGTTCCTAAGGAAAAGATTAGAATACAGAAAAGAAAAAAGCTTATAGCCAATCCCATATTATTTAAGGACCGACCTCCTAAAGTTCCTGCACCGAAAAAACTGAAAAAACTCAACTAAACAAAACTTGTAAACAATAAAATCTTACCAACCACTAAAATTTAAGTTGGAACTCTTATCTAAACTAAGATGTTTGGTGCTAAGGCCCTATTATATCAGGCTTAACCGCAGAGAAAGGTTTCTCCTTCAAAAGAAAAATTTTGTTTGTTTGTACACAAATTTAATTAAAGCCCTTCGACATTAATTTTTGTTTTGACCTATGATCCATACCGTTAAGACTATGTACCTTTATTTTCCTTGAAGTTTATATAGTCTACTTATAAAGCAATAAAAAAAGAATTTTTCATTTTTAAAAACATAGACAAACTACATAAAATTAAAAAAAGTTTTTTCAGACAAGTTATTTGTGCCAACATATCACTAAATCTAAGCTGAGTTCAGCTTAATTGTTTTGCATATAAATATCAAATTATGTAAACTGTTTATTTGCATCATTTGACCTCCTCTTTTCTAAAATTGATAGTACAATCTAATTGGATAAATTAGGAAACCTTTTTAAACTTTTTTCCAATTTACACTAAAATTATTTTCGGAGTTCAACAACGTGATGTGTCACTTGTATCTGTACTCCTTAAATTGCTTATTAGGCTAAAGTTATATATACCATTTTTTGTATAAACAATTCCTAAATTTCTTATTAAAACGACCTTTGGCACACAAAAGCAATTGCTAAAACTACAAAAAGGGAGGCCACTTAGTAAAAATTGTCTATAATAATATTGATACCATTAAATTAAAAACCCGGCTTCATAGTGAGGCGAAGAGGCCCACATTATTAGTATTAATGATGATTCAAAAAAGGTATTTATAAAAAACTCTTTTTTCCTTTCCTATAGTATAATTTTGCAAAAAAGTTTGTAAAGATAAGCTTTTATATTATAAAAATAGTTGAGATAGTTTCTACTAATAAAACATGCTGGGTTAGGAGTAATATTCGCCTTGAAGTCAAAAGCTAACATTTATACGTGCATATAGAAGGCAAATCGATGCTTTACTTAACAACTTTCCGATTTTTAATTTTGTTCTACTACTTTGAAAATAAAATATTTTTTTGGTTGGTATATATTATTAAATATATGTTCTTGGCTTCGATTCCTCTAGTAAGTTTCTAAAAATATTTATTGTTGTTTTGTAAAAACCTTATATTTTTTCACATTCTTATTTAATTTTATTATGTTAGTTAAGCTCCTGACTTCTAATAAATTCTTATTTTTTCCGCTTTGGAAAAAGAAGTAGGCGAGTCTAATAAAAATTAACAAGAAAGCTTTTTTTTTTTTTCAAATCTTATCTTGACTTAAGTTCGACCCCAAGTTTCCTCTAATCATAACGAGGCTTGCATCAGCTAAAAAATTTACTTAAGTGTAACTTAGCACTAAATTATTACACCCTATTCGTTTAATTAAAAAAAATGTTATATGGCGTTCTTTCGCTATATATTCTTTTTAACATAAAGTGTTAAGTACATGCTTCGAACTAACAATTAGATATGGATAACTAAGAAAAGAAACTAAAAATTAAAAAAAAAAAAATTGGACTATAAATATCGAACTTGCAAGCTGCTCTTGTAAGTTATAGCCATTTTAAGTTGCCCCTGTCTCTCTGCTAGCTTTAATTTACTGAGTATTGTCTCGTTTTCCCACTCTATGTTTAGATTTGGATAAAAAGTTTTATGATCGTTGTATTATACTTTTTATTGTAATTAATAATTGGGGGGATATAAACCATTTTTATGCTCTATATTTTAACTTTATAATTGTTTATCCATAAGGTGATAATGAAGCCTACGAGTCGATTACTTGCATTAGGGGAAAAGCTATCAGGTTCAACTCTTGTAACATTTAAGTTTTTAAATTCCTTAGTTAGAATGCCTTTGAATATGAGTTTACTTGTCATTAGGCAGCATAATTTCTTTTTAATAGGAAAGGAACTTGAACATTTATTAAAAAAGTATAATTACACGTGGGAAGCTTGCTGGGAAATGGTGAGCAAGGGTGTCGTTTTTGGGAGAAGTAATACCCCCACCTTTTAAATTAAGATGACCTATCTCCAGAAGAAGAAAGTATGCTTCTGTCATTTTTATCTCGGATGCCGAACTCCTCTGTTGAGACTGTGGCACCTCACCCTGAAGTTTTGTGCACAAGGCTTATGACCCTTCTTCATAAGGTAAATAAGTAGCTTAAGTGTGGTAATTTATTAATAAACCATTACTCTAGGATCCTCCAACTTCGGGGTTACATAGGCAAATTTATTTGTACGTTACTATAATCGAAAAGCTACTGAACGTGTTCGAGTCTTATAAAGGTGAAGTAGAAAGGGACATGCTCCTTCAGGTTAGTTTAAAGTGGCGTTATTAAAATGCTTTTACATTTATAAAGTAAGGATAATAGGTTATTACTCTAGCAAAAGAGAGTTTACAAGTCACACAGACAGAGTTTAAAGAGAGGAGTCTTTTCCTACAAACTTTTATGGGTATGCCACCTGTTTGGTGGATAAAGGTTAAATACTTGGATAGATAAATAATATATTTATATAAGACTGGGAGTTATCTTTGAGGGAAGTTTCGTCTTTAAAGCATAAAGACTGGAAGTGCCCAACAGGTTTGTACTATTAAGACTATGGGTTCTAACATTAAATATTTAAATCTAGTTTCCTGGCTGTTGTCTGACGAACTTTTTAATCCGGTCAAGTTACCAAAAATGAAGATTCCTAATGACAAGTTAAAATAACATTCATATAAGAGACCAGTGTTTTACTCTTAATAAACTAATAAGATCCAATGGCATATATTATTCTATGGAAGAGTATATCGACACGCTATACAAGCTTTGGGTGGCTATTACTTTTTCCGATGGTTCCTATTATAAGCTATGGAAAAAGAACTAATCCTCCCTTTTGTTAATTGTAGGGCATGCAGCCTTGTCAGTGAGGTGCAAGGTATCCGAAAGAGTTAATAAGCAACCTTGTGCTTCCGTACTTCGCCCTAAAGCGGCCTTTCAAGACCTGCCTACTTGTGGACATAGCAACACAGTCGTGTATTGCTGCAATTTTAGAAGTACTTCTACTTGCTTAATTATACAGGTGACTAGTTTACAAACTTTGACAGATCATCGTAGATCCTCTATTTGTGAAACTTGTTATAAGATTTGCCAGAAAAGTATTTTAGGTGCTACAAATAACAAGTCTTCAACCGATATTTATGATGCCACTCTAGTACATAAAACCGTTTTTTTTATTTAAGTATTACCTATTCAAGGGTTATACAGAGAAGGTATGAGCAAAAGGGCATTTTGTTTTTTAGCAATGTGGTAACGAGGCGCCCTCCTAATGTAACGATCAACTGGTCCACGACATATAGGCTTTGTGCCCCTGCCCTTGTGGGCCTGGTGAAGATTGCTCGGTAATTAGCCAAACGGTTCTTGCATATAACTTTTAGGGTAACCGTAAAAATATTATATTAACGAGGCCAAACTGCGCGATCACACCTCTGGATAGGATTTTTTGGGGTAAAGTGGAGCCCTATACTCATGACAGGAGAGAGGATATCTCCAATCGTGCCCGTGGTAATTTAAAGGTCTCTCTTATCTCCTGCCTTGACGAGTTGCCGAGGCTAAAGTAACAATATTTTTAACCTATAAGTCTTGATAATTTCTTTATTGATATAAAAACTTTGCCCAAGGTTTTATGAGAACGCATCCTATGCTATCATCGATTGCAGGACTTTTGTCCCCGAACCTTTACCGGTCCTCAATGTGTTTGAGCACGATGCTGTCGATGACTTTCCGTTGGCGAAATATTTAAATATAAACCCAGTGTGCATTGAAAAGGAAGAGCTTACGTGCTTATTAGATAGTAGCTCTAATCAAGGAGACCTTTCAGGTTTTTCTTATCTTTGTCTTCCAAATTTAGTTTACTTATGAGCTATGTTGTAATTTCCACGCTTTCGTGTTCATACATTACAATTTTACTAAGTAGAGTGGGGATCAAACCTGCCTTTTCGAATTCATATTGAGAAACTTATTGAAACGAGTTATTTAGAACCCTTCAAAGTTATAAGGAAAAACCCAGAACTCCATCAAAAGTAATTTTTTTAAACTCCCCGATTTTTTTTTTTAACCGTGAAACAGATGCAAGAAGGAGCTTTCTAGCCTCGTGGATTCGTTAACTCTTGACCATGAGCAACTAAAAAGTCTTATCTGCGCGCTGCAGTATCCTGTGCACTTAACTCAAGGCCCTCCGGGTTAAGTTCTGCGTTTTAACACTACTGTATAGCTCTTACGCGATCTATGCATTATTAGGTACCGGAAAATCTTATCTTGGGGTCAGTTTAGTTAAAGCTTTACTAGTTGTGAGGTAACATGGTAGTTTTAAAAGTTCATGCTTACCATTATTTCCCCTTGTTAAATTAACTTTTTAGAAAGTGTTATATGGAGTGCTTAAATTTGGTTAACGGATATCCTATACTAATTTTATCTTATAAGAACCATGCAATAGATGAGTTTTTGCTAGACTTAGCAAAGTCTAGTAAATTGAGTATGATCCGCTTCGGAAAGTGTATGTCTAAAAAGCGTAGTTATATTATATAATTCTAGATCTGATTATTACCTAGGCACCGAGCCGGGTCTGAGCTGGTACCTACAGCGCCCAGGCCGACGTAATGATTACATTTCAGTTCCAAGGAAACTAGTAGAGTTGTTAGATCACGTGGACGCGTTCTCTAGAAGAGCGGAAGAATTTCTCTTAAGTAAAGATTTGTTTTTTTGCAAAAAATTTAATGCAAAAAATATAAGCTTCCCACCGTCAAAAAGACTAAAAGATTCCGTTGGTAACTTTTTTTTTCGTTTCCCGAAAGAGTCACGATAAGAATTATTAAAATTTTTAGAGATCTTTTTGGATATCATTTGCAAACTAGAAATCTTGCATAAAGCGAACGAAAAAGTGTTAGAGAGTGCATATGGGGGGAACGAAGCGCTAGAAAAGGAAATACATTTTTTTACTGAGCTCTTTCTAAAAAATGGTAACCTTAGTAATCCAACATTTTTTTTTTTGGGTAATTATACTCATGGCTTATATTCAGCAAGAAAGAACAATGTACTTAAAGTTCTCCAGGAAGAGATAATGCACCTAGGGATTTTTAGTGAGGAGGATATGCTTTTCAGGTGCTCTCGTTCCATAAGTTTTTGGGAGACCATTTTCAAAAGGGCACTTGGTTGAAGGTGGCTAATGGGTTGGAAACCACATGCGAGGTGCACTGTAGAGGGTTGTCCCTTCCCGGTAATACCCAATCCGGATTCCTCATTTTGCCGGGTGCACAAATGCGAGTACTCGGGTAAGTTCGTATTTCCGCAACTTGCAATTACTTATTGGGGATAATGAAATCATTTTTTTTAAAGGTTGTGAAGGAAAAAAGTGCATGAAAAGTAGTGTTGAGCTCATTCCGTTTTGTCAAATTCACTGCTGCCGGGAAGAGACCTGCGTTGTGCGTTCAATTCATTAATTTTTTTTTTCTTTACTAACTTCCTGCCACATCATCATATTAGAAAGTCATCCTGAAAGACAGCTCTTATTGTGAAGTGCACACTTGCATTAAGTGCATAGAACTTAAAATTTTTCCTCCAAATTTATCAATTTATGGTGCGTAGCGCCCCCCTTCTCGTTTTTTATTCGATCTCTTATAATAATTTCATTTGACGTTAACGCTTTATTCTTTGCTTTTTCTTGAAAGACTACCCAAAAAACGTATGCGAGATACACGAACTTTGTTCTGTTGTAAACTGCTTTGAACTTATAGCTAAAAATGGAAGATGCACAGTGCACCAGAGAAACAAGTGTTTAGGTAGTCGAGAGCCCTATATAAGCAAAGGGGTTGACCCCTTCTAGTACTTTATATTTTTCTTTTCCCTAGCCATGCTCGAGGAAGGCCTCAGATGTAAAAAATGGGCTTGCAACGAGTCAAAAACTCTATGCAAATTGCATTTTCAATCTCATGGAAGAGTGAAAAATAATAAAAACAAGGTATGCTCGCCTGTAGAGTATACTTTTTTAATAAAAGACACAAACCCTTTTGCTATAAAGAAAAATAAAACCAAGAAAAAGTTATTGTACGAGGACAGAAGCGACTTAACCAAAAAAGGCCCGTTGATAAGTTTTGTGGAGGACCAAAAAGAGGATGAAAGGCAGCAGGCTGAAGAGCAATGCTATAAAAAATTATGCGAAGATAGGAAAGAAGGCTGGAAGGAAACGTTTTCTTCACTGAATTTAAGAAGTGAAATGCACAGAGCTCGATTAGAAGAAGACAAACACAAGCACGAGCAGGTTGATGAGGCCTGCGACACGAGAGAAGGTTCGGCTGGATGTGAACCTCCTGGTTATCCTATTAATCTCAGTTGGGGGTCAACTTTAGGTAACAAAAAAATTAGTTGTATATTTGAAATTACATCATACAAATAACTCTTTTAAGGAGAGCGATGGGCTCAAGCAAAATATCTAACTTTCCAATCGAAAAGTTATCTGACTGATGTAAGAAAAAGATTGGTGGAGCTATACTATATAGAAAAAGAGAAGGCGATTAAGACACAGGCAAAAGTAGATGCTAAGGAATTTGAGCGAGCTCAAGTTTTAGGTAAATGGCTAAGTTTGTGAAGGGCCAGTTAAAACAGTCAATTTATTTAAAAGTGAACAAAATGTAAATATTCCAATTTCTTCTATATTACACTAGGAGGGACAGTAGTAGGCTGCATATCGAGGTTGGAGTCCATTAGGAAATCCAACCCGTTTGCCATAGTAGTCGAGGAAGCCAGCGAGGTTTAAAACGCTTAAACTCGCAGCTATCATATAAAACTATTTATTTGTTAATTTTAGGTCGTGGAGCCCCTTCTTTTCGCTTCTTTTGTCAAATCACTCACTAAAATTGAGCTCATAGGGGATCAGAGTAATGATCTTCTATTGACGCGTACATAATTAAATCAGACTGTTGGCAAATAAACTATCTATAACCTTAAGGGCAATTAAAGCCCTCGATCAATAAGTTTGAATACGAAATAATTAATAACATGAACATTTCAATGTTTGAGCGGTTAATCTGCTGTGGAACTATTGGATATGTGCCTAGAAATTATTTGCGCGTGCAACGGAGGATGCGCCCGAACATAGCTGATTTGACTCGAAAAGTTAATGCTTCGATTAATTACCGGCGATCTTTCCTGTATTACAATACGGTATATTTGCTTCTCAGCTTTATGAGGACCTCACGAAGATACAAGACGAGCCTTGTTGCCTTTCTAAATGTATAAATGGGGGAAGCTTGAATAACTTAAAATCCCTGGGATCTGAGAGGGGTATAGAGCTGCAAGACTACGGCGGCTATGGCCGAGAGGCAAAAACTGTTTTTAGTACGTTTATAACGTAGCTCACTTTTAATGTGCGTTAATAGGTCCCTGGTGTTATCCCTCATCTATTTTTCTGGCTTCACAGTGGCCGACAGACGCACGCAGCTGTTGGTTTATCGAGAAAAAACGAGCTGGAGGTTCAAATGGTGATAAAGCTAGTAAAACATATAAACTCGGCTGGTGTAAGCCTTCATATATATATTACCATTGGTTTTGTTAAGTGATTTTAATTCATGTTAACTCTTTAAGGTCGATTTAAACTGTATTGCAGTGCTAACCCCTTACAAGGGCCAACTTCTAGCCTTAAGAAAGGGGCTTCAACAACAAAAATTATTTAATTTTGGTGATAAAAATACCATAAGATTATCCACAATAGATAGGTCTTAACTCGCTAATTAATAAGTGTTAATACGTTTACTGCTTTCCGCTACTACAGGTTTCAGGGGGATGAAGAAGACATTGTGGTTGTGTCATTGGTGCTCGACCAATTCTCTAGAACAACATTTATTAAGCAAGTGAATAGAATGATTGTACTTTTATCGAGAGCAAGAATAGGTAATGTGAGGTCACCTACTTTAACCTTCGCCTAACAAACTTTATCGTCTACAGGTCTATACCTAGTTGGTAATGAAACTTATTTCTCCCTAAAAACCGGAGCTCTACCCGACCATTGGATAAACGTTATAAAATACATGCAACTGCCTCTGCCGTATGATACCGCTATTGATCCAAATAGGTATTATCATTTCATCTTTACTCTTTTCTAGTAAGAGCTTGGAATTTATTCCTAAATACAATATTTAGGGAGATTGTACAAGCTTATAGCCAAAAAAACATAGGGAAGTTTCTTCCCATATGCTGTGGAAAACATCGTTCTTCCATTTTCTTGTTAAAGGTTTTTTTCGTCATCGCCTTGTTTCCATTGTCTCAAAGTTAATGACATCACTGTTTTAGGAAGACGTTCCAGTACCCAAAAATATATGTAAGGTCTTATGTACAGCCAAATTAGCATGCGGGCACGCTTGCGGTTCAATAGCTTGTTTATATTCCTACAACCTTTGAGATGAAAATTCCCTGCTGTTCTACTAGGCAAGCTGTGTCATTGGCCCTCAGAAAGACATCAAGATCTGTGCATGGAAGAGCTGGAGGCTCCTTGCCTATCGCATCCGCGCATCTACAAATGCCACGAAATTGTGGATCCTTCGTACAATAAGATTACCTATGAATCCTCTGTGGCTTCTTCCGTGCCCCTTTTTCAGCTTTGTCTCGAAAAAAAAGAGTGCTCTGCTCTCGGTACTTTCGATTCTGACTGTACTTTTCTGGCTGTAATGCCAACTGTTCGAAGCTAGCCCTTTCCTTGGATAACTTCTACTTTATGTTTATGTAATAATTTTTTTTTTTCATTATAAATTAGTTGAGATAATATTGAGATGTGGGCACACAGAAGAAGTGAAATGTTCGGAGAACAGTAGTTTGAACAGCGATTCTAGTAAAACTGTGCACTACTTTAATTTTTGTGTAACCCGTAATTTTTTTTCCAATTTTACAGAAAAGAGAGAAGAATTTTTAAGTACCTATGTCTGTAAAAAAGTGAGTCCTTTGAAGTTTTATAGACCGAGTTGCAACCATGAAGAGGTTCTTCTCTGCTATCAGTATCACCGACTAAAAAGGAATCCAGCCCTTTGTCCTCCATGCCTAGAGCTTGTAGCGCTTCACTTTTATTCTGTCTTGTTGGTTTAATCGTTATATTCCTACAAGGTAGTGTACACGCCCCTATGCAATCATTCAATTAAAGTAGAGTGCTGGAAAAGTCGGCAATACCACTCGGGGACACAGTTTGTATGCAAGGAAACAGTGGAAACCGTACTTCCCCGCTGCGGTCATAAGGTTTGGACTAATAAGTTTCATGAGGTGTGCCTAGTCTCTTTGTCTCCTGCGCAGGCGTACGTCCCTTGTGTTGAAATGGAGGCTTTGGGTAAGTGGAGCGGAAACCCTTGCTTAACTGACACCGTTAATTACAACGAGATATATGGAAGAAGGGGTTCATCCCTTAACGATTTTTGTTTAATTTAACGACACAACACAATTTAGATTTTAAATGCACGGAATTGGCTACTTTTAAGCGTTCTTGCGGTCATTTGGAGAGGGTTGTTTTATCAATATCTTGTCTGGGTATTCTCACCGTTGAAACCAGGTTACTTCTTCAGGTCTGCTGCTTTGAAGCATTCCAGTGGACGGGAACAACCCCACCAAAATGCACCCAAAACTTAACAAATGTGCCTGATTTAGTGTGTGGGCATGTCTTTTCTATTGAATGGTGCACTTAACTAGTTCTTCACGTCTTAACTATATCGCCTTGCCTTATCATTTTTATTAGTGGTGAATTATTTCAAACCCTGAAAAATCTGCAGCGTCGCTACACGCATCTTTTTGGCGGTCTCGACTTAGCTCATACGCCCTTCGATGTTTTGCTTAGAAAACTTGAATTGTTTTCTTTTTTATCTTTTTAGTCGGCGAGTTGGCTCACTTCGTCCTTTTTCTAAAGATTGGCGCCAGCTCCTATAAACTTTTTCTCTAAAAAGGACGGAATTTTTTATAACAATGGGTTTACTTTATGCTTACAATTTTTTATGCATTTTTCATTCTTACATTGAAACAGCCCGCCATCTTTCGTACCTTGTGCAGTGACTGTGTCAATTGAGTACGAATGCGGGCATAAATCTGCCGTCCCCTGTTGTAAGGCTAAGAATTGGGTTCTTCTGTGTAATTCTGCACAGCTCTCAGACTCAAGTATGAATTCCTGTCTTTCAGGGCGTTAGGTTCTCCTAATGGGTGTGTTTTTCCTTTCAGGGCACGCACTACGTTGCGAAGAAGTTGTGGAAGCAACCAACCCCATTTGCTACCACCAAGTAAAACTGCAATGCCATTTAAATAAGGTTGTAGTTGCGCCTTCTTTTTGGTAACGTGTTTCATTTGTTTTTTCCAGCTGATCAGCGAACTTCGAGTTTGGCCTGATGAATTTTATTTAAATGGAGCTGTTGAAACCCTTAGGGTTTTCTTACTTTAAACCTTTCTTTTGTTTAAAACATTGACGCGGCGCACAGGTATCAGGTGTTGTAGAGGAGAATCACATGCCCTCATTAGCCGGCCTACAACAGAGCTTAAAAACCGTTTTAGGTGCCTTTTTTTTAAGAGCCCGAATAAAAATGTTCTGAGTAGAGCTTTGCCCTTAAGTAAGTTGCAAAGAGTCGGTATTGGTGAAACTCTCGAGCTGCGGGCACCTTCTGCAACGACCTTGCACAACAGTATGGATTCCACTTGCTCTTTTATAAGTTTGACTCTTCCCTTTTATAGGCCTTTAGCGGGGCGAAAAGAGGTGCTCTAAAATGCGCTTCAGAAATTTTATATCCTTGCGATAACTGTGGTAACCTCATTTAAGCAGAAATTGTTTTGTAGTATAGCTAGCCTTGTCGGTGCATTTAGGAAAAGATAAGATTGTGCCTTGCGAGATAAAGGAAGAGAGCAAGAAAAAAGCCTACCAATGCAAAAATATATCAGAAAAGAAGTGTGCTAATTACATTTGGTGTCAGAACACAGTTCCTCTACCCTGTGCGTACTTCACCAAGGTGAACAATTTTCTTTTCCCATAAACTTACTAAAAAGTCTACGGGCGGCTCAAAAGGTTATCTGCCACGGCGTTTATGTGTGGACTTGCGCATTGAACCAAGAATCGCATTTTATAAAACTAAGATGCAACGGTGAGACACCGCCTTTTTGTCCTTTTTGCGAGCAAGAGAAAGCGAAAGATGAGATTTTTAGCTTGCAATATGAACTTTCTGATGAAACAGTCATGTAAAAAATAACTATTTATGTTCTAGACGTTTTTCTTCTTACTTTGTTTTATTGAACCATAGACTAAACAAATACGCAGGCAAAGCTCTCGGTACGTTAGAGGATGCCATCACGCTTAGCGGTATTGATAACATTAAACAAGAAGTATGCGGAAAGGTTAACACATTATCTTTTAAAAATAATATTAATTAAAGTTACCACGATCTTTTGTAGACTTTTGTGGAAGAGCTGGAAGGTAAATTAAGTTGCCAATACGAAGCCATTACCCAATGTGCAAACCTGCGAGAAAGAGTTCGCTTCCAAAGTTGCGCTTTACCCGTATTTCTCGTGATCAAGAAGAGACAATTCGAATCTAAGTTTAATTTTTCAATGGTCGCAAAGGAAAACCCTTTAGGAAAAGGCGTTCTTTTTAAACTGTTGCATCGCTGCAACCTCGTGCCACAAGATAGCAGCAAGTCTACTTTGTCTAACAAAGACTTTGGCCAGGTATGCGTCCCCGTTCACTTGGCGCTGGGGCTTGGGATCACCTACAAACCATTAATTCTTAACTTTGGAGACCCCGAGAGTCTGAAAAAGAAGTCCTTAAAAATAAATAGGGCGGATGGTTTTGATGCTGTCATTAACAAAGCTCGGAATGAGATTTTATTTTGGGAACCGAAATGTGTGCTAATCACGCACAAAGTGTTATTAAAAAACGACTCCTCCAGCGCAACTTTTTTAAGCTGTTTTCCTGAAGCGTTCTCACTGTATAACTCTTTAAAAATTGAATTTTTTGGTCAAGATGAGGTTGGAGACGGTGATCTATTGGTTGAAATGCCGAAAACTTCTGTAGCTGAAACCACAGCCATAACGGGAGTGAGTATCAAGGTATTTTACAAGGCGACATTGCCGGCGAAGAGTTTTCCTTTAATTATATACTAGCCATCGGTTAAGCTAAAGAAGCTTCTTTGTAAAGTTCTAAAAAATTATGCCCAAGTGTTTATTTCTGAAGACATGATAGACTTTGAAAGTTGGGACGGTAAGCTATACTTTTTAAATGTCCTAGAGCTCTTTCATTAAAAATGACGTGAAGGCTTAAGTCTTAACATTAAAGAGGAGTCCTTTGTTAAGTCTCGTATGACTTATTTTACCAGGGAATCCCAAAGAACTTTTTCAGGTAGTTAACAAAATACTTAGCGCGTTATTATTCAATATAACTTTATTAAAGGAATTCTATTATATTTAAAAAGCTGATTTATCTATACCTTTAACTTTTCTTTTGTAGGCGTTAAGTGCTTGGAAAACTTGTGCTTGCAAGAACCATTCGCGTTCCTGCTATTATTTTTCGAAACTTACCACTTAAAATTTCTAGAGGAAGCAAAAACTTCCTTAGTTAACTATCTTAAAACGGTATTCTGCGCTTTTTAATATGAATTAAAAAGATAGCTATGGTTTGCGTGCATTAATCAGGTGAGTTGTCACATCCACCCTCTCTTACTTCTCGCCTTAGCACGTCTTTTTGAGTTGGAGAATGAAACCGTTTTAACAGGCTCAAGTCAATTCAAAAATGAGAAGATCATCTGCTATTCTCACTTTTTGCTTTTCGCAAATACTGAAGAGAAGCGACAGTTATGGCTTTCATGTGATGAGTTGGAGAGACTTAAAAGGATGGAGGAAGGAGAAAAGCCAGAACACTGCGAAGCTAACGTGAACCCCACTGTGGAGGCTAAAAGTAAATATCTTTCTTATCCAATTTTCCTTTTAGCTGCTAATAGCTTATATATATAAACTTTTTTCATGTGTAGCGTCTATAGAGGACCAATGGGAGGAATTAAAAGTTACTTCTAACATAAGCTCTATTTCTACTGATAATATAATGAGGCTGACCGGTAGAAGTACAATGGAGCATGCTAATCTGACAGTTGTTAATGCTTATATAGGGTTGCAAAAAGTTAAAAAGGAAGCCTTAAACCTTGTGAAGATGATAAACTTACTTAAGTCTGCTAAGACTCCTATGGTTGTTCCATTTAACTTCTCCTTCGAGGGAAACCCAGGCAAATAGAATTCTAATGTCATTAAGGATTTGTGTAATCTTGCGATTTATTTTAGGGACTGGAAAAACGACTGTCGCTAGACTGTTTTCTGGGATATTTAAAGAATTCGGCTTTCTTCCTCGGAAATCCAACGAATTTGTAGAGATTAGTGTGCATGAACTAAAGGAAAAGTCGAGTGAAGGTCTATCAAACCGTCTTAAATATACCAAAAAATTCGTTTAAAGTTATAATAAAATATTTCGGTAGAGTTGGACGCATTGCTAAAGACAACCACATTTATTTTTATTGACGAAGCTTATTTATTGGATCCCAAAAATGATCCCAGCGGGGCGAGAGTGGCCGATAAGTTGTTGTCGGTAGCTGAGAAACATAGGTTTACTTTTTTTGTCTTTCCTTCGTGGGCCAGCGTCATTAAGCCTTCTTTTTCTCAGGGGACGGGTGTCAATAGTCCTCGCTGGTTACGAAGAGGAAATGGACAAAAAGTTTTTTGCATATAATCAAGGTTTAAATGTTCAATAAGAGCAAAGCCATCTGCACTAAGATAACTAGACTAAGGCTTTTTAATTACCCACTTTTACTATAAACAGGACTTCGAGGCCGCTTTAAGACAGTTAAGTTTGAAAATTTTACCAAAGAGGAATTAAAGAAAATTTGGGTTGATACTTTAAAACAAAATGGTTTCAAAGGCGATAATACCTTAGCGAATGTGGTGTGCAGGTAATGAGTCAGCACTTGCTCTTTTTATTATAGATTAGTACTCTGCCATCACTTTCTAGGCGCCTTGAAAAAAGAAGTACAGAAAAAGATTTTGGAAATGCTCGAGCGGTAAGGCAAACTTTCGAAGATGCTGTTAATTCTGCCGCAGGTTAGTCCTTTGGCCCCTTCAATTCAAAAAACAGTAATATTTCCTGAATGTGCCTAGGGCGTGTTCAAACAGGCGATTTAAAACTAATTGTTGAGGACGTTTTGGGGCCAAGAGTTGACTGCAATGATGAAAAAATTGTAAAGCCCCTTAGTTGCCCACACAAATTTCTTTATTGCTTATCACGTGAGCAGAAACCACTCCTAGATAAAATTTACCAAAGTTATGGATGGAAGAGAGTAGCAGAGGCTGTGCGAGATTTGATCGCAGTAGTTCAGAAAAATTATGATAGAGAAATAGCAGGAGAAACCCAACTTCCCCTGCAAAAGAACCGAGTTCTTCTCGGAAGTCCAGGTGTATATGCGGTGCCCAGGCTACGTACTCTGCACTTCTCACAGACCTTTTAAATTATTCCAAGGAACGGGGAAGACTACATTCGCTAAGCTGTATGGGCAATTGCTAAAAAATCTCGGGATCTTATCTAAGGGGGAGGTGGTAGAAGCCACCTCCAGTGATCTTAAAGGGGCCCACATAGGTGAATCAACCTCGAAGACAAAGGCCATGGTCGAGAAGTGCAGGGGAAATGTCCTGATTATCGACGAGGCGAATACTTTTAAAATCCTGTGTTTTTAGCAGTTTAAAAAAAAAATGGAAATTATAGGTCTACACCTTGGATGACACAACGTTTGGAAAAGAAGTTTTGGATACACTCGTCGAAAAGGTTTCTTTACTTTCTAATTACCGTAGGATGATCTCTGCTGACCCTCTGAGCAGGTGCAGGGGGCCGCCGATGAAGACATTGCCGTTCTACTTTTGGGTTATGAAGAACAAGTTGTTCGAATGTTTAACAATCAGAACCCTGGACTAAGGAGGAGGTCTTTCTTAACGAAATATCACATGCTAGTTGCTACTATACAATCTTACTACCATAATAGGTTCCCCCTTGAAAGCGCCTTTCATTTTGAGGATTTCAAGTTATCCGAACTTATGGAAATATTCAAGGCTCTTTGCCAACAAGAAGGAATTGGGTACACCTTAAGCGCCCTCAAAGAAGTGGAAAATGTTCTTGATAACCAAAAATGCTCTTCTCTTGCTGGTTGTGCTTCTTACACATGCGCATGCTATTGCGCTCATTTACTTGGACTAAAGGTTTTGGGAACGCAGGAGCCGTAAACAATCTGTTTAAGAGCGTTATATCCAGGTGTAGTCGAAAGGACAGAGGCATAAAACTTACCATCGAAGCTGAAGACGTCCGAGGTTTTCTCTGAGACTGAGTTATAACAGTTCACAACTTCAGCTAAATGCAACCATAGAATTAAAAAAGGATGATCCTTACGCTATGCTAGACCAGCTCTACAATATTAACTCCGTCAAAGAAACTATAAAAAAGTTGGAGTGCAAGTTTTTACTAGCCGAAAAGGAAGGTAAATAGTAGTGCGCGCCTTCTAGATGTTGTCTAAGAAAGTAAACTAGGAGCTGCTACAGAACCAATAGGACACTTCATTTTCACGGGTTCTCCTGGCACTGGAAAAGTTTAGAAGCACTGTTGTATTCCTACTATAAACCGTAATGTTGTTATGTAGACTACGGTGGCCAGGATGCTGGCTTTGATACTTTACAGAATTGGAATTATTTCCTCTCAAACTTTTAAGCAAACTTCTGGTCTAGAGCTCACAGGCAATTTCGTGGGGCAGACCAAGTCAGTAGTCATTGAGAAGCTCAAGGCCGCTACGGGTGGAGTGCTGCTTATTGACGAGGCCTACGAGGTTTATAAATAACGATATCTTGAATAACCCTTTTTTTCGTAACTTTTTTAACTTCAGCTTGGTAAAGGGCCCTTCGGGACAGAAGGTAAGTGAAATTATTTTGAGTCGATTATAAGATTCTAATACCAACGAAGCCTTGACCACTCTCGTGGAGTGCATGACCAACCCGGAGTATTCCGGAGTGGTCATTATAATGGCGGGCTATAAAAGTGATATTGATAGCATGCTAAATACAAATGAAGGTTCACGTTGCTGCTCACACCTACAGTTAATGGGGTCCAACATGTATGTGTTCTAAAAAAAAGGATTGAAGTCTCGTATGCGCAACTATATTGAGTTTAAAGACTGGACAGTAGACGATTCTGTCCAGTACTTCTTACTCCAAATGAACAAAGAGCATTACAAGGTCGTCTTCCTTTTCACATTACGCCAAGTGCCTCTCAGCTTTCCCTTTATGCTCCAGCTTTCTTCTGAGTGCGAGAAAGTTTTAAAGCAAGCAATCGAAGGCATTAAAAGCCAAAAGGGTTGGGCGAATGCTCGTGATGTGAATACTTTATATTTAAAGGTAAAAGTAAAACGCTTTTATATAATGGCGCAGGAGCATTAATTGTTTGTTTCTGTGTTGATAAGGTTAAGGAGCAAAGAGCTTATAGGATAATGACGAGTAACGAAAACTCTTCCGAGCTGTCCTTCGAGGTAGCTGACATGTGGTTAGCTGAGTTATAAGGGTGCATCTTACTTAAAGCTGTTCTTTGCGATGCAGATTCAAGACATAAAGGATATGGCTGCAGATATCATTAAGCAGCGAAATCCACTAATCACCGACGTAGAAGGTATTTTTGACGACTCGGACCCCTTCAAACCATTAAACAAGCTATACAATGTCGAGCATATACGTGATGAATTTATAAGAATACAAGCCTCTTACGCCATGACTGCAAAGGAAAGCAAAAAGCCTAGTCCCTTGGGACACTTTCTCTTTGTGGGCAGACCGGGTTCATAACATAGTTTTTTTAATGACCGCCAGTACTTAGCTGATTGGACTGTATTAGGGACGGGTAAAACTACAGTGGCGCGGATGCTGGCCAAGATACTTTTTAAGCTGAAGATAATACCATCTCCTAATTTTAGAGAAACATCTGCCACTAATTTAACCGCTCAGTTTGTTGGTCAAACTAAAGAGAGAGTGAAGGCTCAACTAAACGAAGCCAGAGGCGGTGTTCTCTTTATTGATGAGGCCTACGAGGTTTACTATCTTGTGTCCTCATATCTCCCAGAGCTTTGGGCCCTTAGAGAGCCCTCCCCTCTATGCTGCTCATTAGCTAGGCAAAGGCTCCTTCGGGGAGGAGGCAATGACGACTCTCCTTGAGGCTATGACTCATCCTCTCTACGACGACCTCGTTATTGTGATGGCTGGTTACAAGGACGAAATGACTGAGATGCTGAATCGAAATCCAGGTTTTACCCCTCTCTGCTCCTCCTACGTTCTTATGATCTTTTTGGTTTTGAAGGCCTTAAATCAAGGTTTGGTCGCACTATCGAATTTAAGGATTGGGCTCCTGAGCATTGTTTACAATACTTTAAGCATAAGATGAAAGAAAGTGGTTACAAGGTTAAAGTTAGCACTTTCCTATAAACACGCTTTAAACACTCTGGATTGATACAATTAGCTCGAAGAGGGCGTGGAGCGGATATTTGTACAGTTAGTGACTGGGATTATCCATCAGAAAGGTTGGGGAAATGGAAGAGATGTATCTAAAATAATTCAAGAGGTATAAGTTTCAATTTTCTATGTGAAACGGGCAAGCATGGCTTGTTCTGTATTATAATTTCCCAGCTTAAAGGACAAATATCTTATAGACTGCTTTCCTCTTCCGAGGAAAATGACACTGCTTCGATTAAGGTTGCAGTATTTAAATAAAGGTGGAATTCTCCGGTTCCTACTAGCTTTATCGGTAGTTGGAGGATATAAAGCCAGTAGCTTCGAAAATGATCAAAAGCAGAAATGTATTACTTAAGGACAGTGAGGATCTATTTGAAGACAGAGATCCCTACGAAGAGTTGGGGAAGCTTCGAGGCATGGAACATATAATAAAAGAACTGCGCAAACTCGAGGCGAGCTTAGAAATCTCAAAAGTGGAGAACGGGAAGCCTACAACTGTCGGTCACTTTCTTTTTATTGGGTCTCCAGGTGGCGCTTCAAGCTATTCTTTTTATTATATGATATTTGACCTCCGGCACATTTAGGAACCGGAAAAACCTCGGTGGCGAGAATGCTGGCCAAACTTCTCTTTAAGCTCAAGGTGCTCCCATCACCGAACTACCAAGAAACTTCGGGCCTTAATTTGACGGGCGAGTACGTTGGCCAAACAAAAGAGAAGGTCAAAAGACTGCTAAGCGAGGCCCAGGGGGGTCTTCTATTCATCGACGAGGCCTATGAGGTTCATACTAATTAAAACTAACGTAAAAATGATAACGGCCTATTAACAATGCAGCTGGGAAATGGCTCTTTTGGCCAAGAAGCCATCACGATGCTTGTCCAGGCAATCACGGATCCGCTTTACTCGAGTTTGGTGATTGTGCTCGCTGGATACAAGCAGGAAATGAGCGAGATGTTAGACCGCAATCAGGGTACTCTCTGGCCGTTTACTTGGATGCGAATAGTAAAATGCCTTCCCCTGCAGGTTTAAAATCCAGAATTACAAGGCTCTGGGAATTTAAAGACTGGACCGTGCAAGACTGTGCCGATCACTTTACCAGTTTACTTGAAAGTGAAGGTTTCAAACTCGGGGAGGGGGTTGTAAAAGAGCTAAAGTGCCTCTGCACAGAGTTGATTGCTCTCCCCGGTAATTTTATGGCGTTTCAACAGGTTTTTAGCTTTACTTCTAATTAATATAGGTTGGGGAAACGGTCGTGATGTCGTCGAAATGGCCAAAAAAGTGAAAGAGGAAAGGTATTTACTTTGTATTATGACCTACTTAGTCATCCAGAAACTAAGTATTTACTGCCCAGAGCTTTAAGGGTGTGGGAGGTCTCCGGTAGTTATAATATTGCTCAAAAAGTCATCGAACTACGAGACTTTTGCACCGTAAAAAGCGAATTTTTAAAACAAAGAGTATTGGTTAGGGCTGAGGAGCGTTCACCCCGGAAAGAGCTTGCCAGCTTTACGAAGACTCATAGTTCCTATAAACAACTGCCACAGGTCAACTTTAATGAACCAATGGAAATGATTGAAATATGCCCTGAAGAGTCCAAAGCCAATGAGGTGCGTCTAAAAGAGGAGAGGCTCCAACTCACCGCAAACGTAGCAGACCAGGCAGAAGATGAGCAAAAAGGAGACCTAATGGGTATTTTAGAAAAGGAAGGGTTGAATAAGTGCCCACGAGACTCGGGAGTTTCCGAAGAAGTGTGGGCTTCGTTACTAAGAAATATAAAAAAAGAAAACGTTATGTGCAGAGTGGTAAAAAAAACCAAAGTTAGTTTGGAGGTTCTCCAAGAAGAGTCTTCTACTAAAAAAGAGGAATATCTAAATAAAAAAAAGGAGATTAAAGAGGCTCAAAAAAGATTGGCCTTTCAAGAGAATGAGGAACAAAAAAGAATCTTAAAGAATAACTTGAAAAAATTGGAAGAGAAAAAAAAACTAATAAAGCTTGAGAAAATTAAAAAAGAAGAAGAGCTGAGACTTAAAAAAGAAGAACTTAGAAAGCTTAAGCTGATCCAAGAAGAAAAAAGAAAGATTCAGGAAAAATTAAAAGTTATACGTAAGTGTCCCCAAAACTACGACTGGATCCCAGAACAAAATGGTTGGCGTTGCAAGGGTGGGGGTCATTTTGTGACAAAGGAAGAATTAAATTCTAAGTTTACTTTTGAAATCACCCGTTCACAATAAAATTGAGCCTTCATTGTAATTTATATTCATCTTTTGAAGTACAGGGGGTACCGCAGGTGACTGTGATACGTGTTATTTTCAGTTTTCTTCCTTAAGTTTTATAGTGTATAAAAAGATTTATCTGCCTTTATCTAGTGTTTAACAACACTATAGCCCCACTTTAAATTTATACTTTTGATAACTGTGGCCTCTTAGTTTTCTTAGAGGCTTAAAAGGTTTTGAATATAATATATATCTGTGTTTCAACAAAGAAGTGTGAGACTGCTCTAAGTGCCTTTATGTACTAGCTTAAAAATTAACGTTAAAGCTTTTAGGCAAAGCGTTTTTCTCATACTAATGAGTATATAGAAATAATATTATTTAGAAGGGGTGCTTTTAAAAAATAAAATATTTTTATTATGCTTCTTTTTAAAGATTTTTACCGGGTCTAACCGGGGCGAACAGGGATAATGGAGTGTTACTACTTAGTAGACAGAGGGTATTTAACGAAAATGGAATTGTAATCAACCTAATGGGTTTATTTTTTTAATGTTTTCCTTATAAGTATTAATTATAATATGGTGACTTTTGTTAAAATTCCCTAAAATAATAAATTAATGTACAAAACACTTTTAAATAATACTTAGAGTAAACTACTTTTTTGTTCGCTGCACTTCGTTAAACAAACGTGCTATCTTGAGGGAAGATGATAATTTTTAGGTCAGTAAATTACTGTAAGCCTATTGGAGTATAGTAAGGTTTTCGATGTCTTTCTTATTATCTAAAGTTTTTTAAAGGTTAAGATTTGAATGACACTAAACAACCAGAAATTTTATGCCCTTAAAGAGTCTTCAATCTTAATTCCTGAGATTATTAGACGTCAAATAAAATTCGTACCTCCTCTTCAAATAAAGCTAGTGGATAACCATGTTCATCTTGTTCTATCTGAATATCACTATCCTTGCCATTATTTGATTGTATATAAATATAGTGTTCACCTGGCGTTCACATATAGCTAACTCTGATTTATTTTCTGTAATACACTTCTTTAAAGTAGAACTAGAGCTAATTGGTGCCTCTGCAGTTTTTTTATAACTACGGTTGTTGTTTTCAGTTATCATATCTGTGGGTCTACCATTTGCTATGACCTGAACAGATCATAAGTCGGCATCTATAATAGTGTAATACAGTTTCATTATAAGGCGATTGCTGATAAGACTGTTAGTAGGTGTGATTATTTATTTTGTTCTATATATTTTTATTATTGTAGAAAATAATATTTAGAATAGATAGGTGTACTTATAATTCATCTTTTCAAAAATATTAACTCTAGACTCGACTGCAGTACTTGGAATAAAATCTGAGCAAGCATAAAAACCACCACCAGCAGGACACTCGCAGTGCTTTACAACATACAAAACAGCCCTGTGTGACATATACGGGTTCGAAACCTTTATCTAATAGACCTTTGATAACGAAGATTGTAAGTAGGGTACACCTAGTTCATTTTGAACAGTGGATTCATCGTATAAGTCAGCTGGATAGTGATCTTTATAAGCTCCAGTTTACTCCGATTCATATTTTTGAAAAATTTATCATAATCTTTTATTAAATGGGATACTCTAAAAAGCTAGCAAGGTGCATGGTCTACTGGCAATGTTTGGAAGTTTTCTGTTGGAGTTGTTAGTATGATATTTGGTATTTAATTTGCAGGCAGTCTAACACCTGTGTAATTTTTATGTCTCGTCTATACTGGATGCACATAAATTATTTAAAATTGCAGTTTTTTTTTCCTTCCCTAAAAATTGTCATAATCAATACCCAATTTTATAGAGTACTTATTACTATTTATTAACACGTTAGCCGCTACGCTAGATCCACTCTATCACTCCGCTGCTTGATTTGTCAGTTTGCATGCCACAATAGTATATTCGAACCAGCACTAGGGATAGTAAATAATATAACAGCGAAATGGTCCTGACGGTAGGTACAGTATACCCTTACCCCATTACTGCTTCAACGGAGAAACCTAAACAAAATGAATTTTTATAATTTTTTTATAATTTTTTTCCAATCTGTAAAAATATAAAAATTTCTACTCAATTTTTTTGTTCTTTGTAGTGAGGGTTGACCGTCTGAGGGCACAACCCCAAATTAAACATTAAAAGGGTGGTATGCGCGTCGTACCTGCTATTTTTTTTAACTTAGTGTTTCTGAAGTGGTGCGCGTTCTGCTATTCAGGCTTCTCGTTAAGCAATTAAATAAATTATTAAAGCTCTTCTAATTTCAACCCTCGAAAAAATTAAAAAAAAACTATATGTAACCAAACTACATAAAATGAATAAGGTCTTTAAGGCCTTGCTTTTTTGCTTCTTTGCTCATATTTTAATACATTACCAGCAGCCAACCTTACCTGGGCATTACTCCACTTCTTTTCGGATCGCTATATTTTCTACATCCCTTTAAATCCAGTACTACGGCCTATTTACGTCTTCTTAGACCAAAAAATTTTCAATTGTTATTTAACTGTTTCTAAACTTTATTCATTTTTAGACATAATCTTCCCTAATTTTTTTTTTCTTTTCACAACTTAGAATAATCCATACTTTTGTAACTTCTCTAATATCTTTGTTTACCTTGAACTTTATTATCGCCCTTGAGTTAAAATAAACAACCATCCAGAATTGCATACACAACAGCTTGCGGACAAGGGTAACTATCTACTAAGGGATGTCTCCCAACTTTGACAAATGGCTAATTGATACTAAACTAGCATTAATTACTTACGGGGTCGCTCTTTCTCTACAACACGAAAGAGCTAGAGAACCTCAATTTACCTTACATTAAAAATTTGAAAGGGCAGCACTTAAAATACAAATAATGAACATTTTGTAGACAGCTGTAAAAAATCTAAGATAAAGAAAAATGAAAGTCACAGAACCTCATTGAGTTATACAAACCGTCAATTACACTTCCGGCAGACAGCCACCAGTGACATTTATCGACGAAACTATTTGACAATTTGCTAATCGCTTAGAATACATTCAAACCTGATAGATGAACAGCGCATTAAAAAACTAACTTCTCACAAACATAAAATAACTAATTTACACAAAACTTGTAACTGATGTTTAATAGATGTTAAATATAATAAATGTAATTAATACAATAAACGGTCATCCTGTAGATTAAAAAATTAAATATTTAAATTATACTGTTAATGGCAAAACTATCTTCTACACATATTAAACATAACTTCATTTCTAGGTAAATTAAATGGAAGGTTATAAAGTCCGTCTTTTAAAAATAATAAGGTATACATAGAAAAAAACAACTGCGTTAATGCTAATGGGACAAGAAGAGGTGAACTTTATAACGGCAACTGCAGTGATTTTTATTCTATGTCTGCTACAACTTGACAGAAAACACCCAATATAGTCTAGAGAGCTCCACATATATGGCCCTCTTAGCTATTACCTCCTTAAAAAATTTTTCTAAACATATTAAAAATGAGGATCGTAAATTTTTCTAAAGGTTGAATTAAAATGGAAAAGGCCAATAAGAGCGAAACACACGATAAACGAAAATTCGGATAACTATTATACATTGATTTAGGTACTAGTACGTTCCCTCTTATGATGGCTACAGATAAGCAATTATTGCTACTGACACCAAGCCTAAATGTATTACAACATTATTTGTCAAAAATAAACTGGAAATTAAACATATACAATCTCAATGGCCTAAACAGAATAGTTTATATATTATAAATTTGATTATAAATCGAATTAAACCCCTTGCAGTCATAGAGAAGATCGGAACCGACAGAGAAAAATGACGAACTGCTCTAAAATATTCAACAAAAGGGTATTATATTATCTACGGTACCAAAAAAACACAACACAATATATCTTGAGTAAAAGAATTATACATACACTATATAATAATATGACCAGATATATATTAAAGCAATCAAAGCATCCGATAAATTACGGGAATGAAGCCCTTAGGGACGCCACCTATGTTACTAACACCATCTCGAAAAAAAAAAACGAACCACTACCACCAGATGAAATCTTTTTGCTTTTCTTCTTTAAAAATTAGATCGTACAAGCCTTTAGGTTTTTAGCTTTTTGCTTGACCCCATCATAATATAAAAATCTTAAGACCGCGCCTCAGAAGGTATACTACCTTTTACTCAACAAAAGAGGGATAAAATATACTAAAAACGAATACTGGCAAGATAGTAAGGGCTAGAGACATGAATGCTCCGAAGATTCACTCTCTCATAATCCTACAAATATCAATAAGATAACCTTTCCCCTTTAGCATGCGGTATAATAAATATCCTATCCACCTTAAATTAACTTTGAAACCATACTTCAGCTCTTCCCTTTCCTCAGAGACACAAAACTGCAGTGCGGACACTTAAAGTGAAGATCATGAAATCATATATGGGCGATATTCATAGTACTGAGTTATAGAAGTCTCAATCTTCCTCTTCATTGACCGATCCACTTCAGGGTATAACCCACATACTACAACCACCTTACTGGTATGAATTATCCAATAACTTAAACAACTTACAAAATTCAACGAAGAAACACATAATAAAAACAATAATAAGACCACCACAAACTAATAATGTAACTAAGATCGACAATTACCACCAAATTTTAAATAAAATTACAGGAAACCATCAATTGAAAACTCATCTACTAAGGAAAATTCCCCATGTAACCTACTTAAAGATCGCGACAACTTCAAAAACTAAGGCAAACAACTCTCGCATTAGCTAAATCACATCCAAAAAAATACCTTAAAGACAGTCTTAAGTTAAAAAGAAACCTATAAACCCTATAATAACAGATCTTCTCTATCTAAATCCTAAGACTTCTCTTATAATAAAATGGCTATACCCCCTGATATTTTTGTTGTAATTAAAGGCGTGTTTTACAGTATACTGAAGAACAACGAAACATTTCAATAATAAGAAATTCAGAAAGTAATAACTCTCAAGCTAGAAAAACTTAAACACAT